TCTGGGAACCATGGTTACATTCGTAACCTGGAGACGTTTTGCACCAAGCTCAATTAAAGTAGTTTCACTAAAGCATGCTACTCCTTTGAAAAAGTAGTTACGCTACTAAGGCTAACAAAAGTAACTACAGCTTCATTTAAATATTTGACTATTCAACATTATAATTTAAGCAGAAACATATTTTTTGCGGTCACATTGAGGGTTTAAATGAATTACAGGGTTCCCACAACTTCTGACCATGACTTTTCTAGTTATTCATGACTACTGAATGAGGTTTTTACAAATCTTTTTTAAAGCAATAGCAATGCAAAGACCATTTTCTGCTCTAGTCTAGTCTGTATAAATACTGTATAGCATACTGTAACTAGCAAAACTGATATTCACTGTTGAAGTTTCCTTGACTTTTCCATGACTTTTTCAGATTTTAATTTCAGTAACTTTTCACTTCTCTGTGTGAATTTTTCCAGGGTTGGCATTTTTTTTATGCTCTGTGAAAACATGAACAAATATAATTACACTGAGTACAACTAGGAAAAATATAATACCCCTAATTTAAGCAGAAAAAGTAGTAATGAACAGCATCATTTAACTGTTCTAAATGCATTACTATATTTACTATAATAAAGAAGACCTGGACTTAAACTTTTATTTCTCTATAACTATTTTTAATGCAACAACTACACTGTAAATTTCAATCTGTTAACGTAAAAAATCTTGCAAACAAAATCTAGTTAAGGTTACTTAGTATATTCAAGTTTTCATATGTTGACTTCTGAGTAAACTTGAATATATTGAGAAACCTTAACTAGATTTTTCTAAAGCAACAAGATTTGTTCCAAGTAACATTAAAATTTTTAAAGTATGAAAAAACATTGTAGTTCCTGTACAATGACAGTAAGAGCTTCATTTGACTTAAATGTGACATAATTTTGTTGAAAAAAGTATTGTGTTACTGGAAAAGATGCACTATTTTAAAAACTACTGTCAAACTACTGCAAAAAAAGAAAATGTAGTTAATAGTGTCACTACTTGTAAAGAATTACTCCACGGCACTGGTGCCAATCCGTCACCTGACTCCATTTACTCTCTTGAAAGGGGCTCTGATAAAAACTCTCCCAGGACCGTAAAGTTCACCAGAAAAAGGCAGAAGTCACTCTGAACCTGCCCTAGAAACACAGCATTTATCTCCAACATGGTATCTGTAGAAAGAGCACGTTCCTCTCGTGCTAGCCATCTTCCCCCTATTCACCCTGCACTCGCTGTAATTCTACAACTAACGAGTGGGAGGAAGATTTCAAAAATTGCTTTTTGTCCTTCAGATGACTCAATCAAGCCCAGTGGACTTAACGAGGGCACAATCATCATTTATTCAATTTAGTATTCTAAAGAACATTCATTAAACAGGGAGTTTGGGGGGCCGGGGTTTCAAACGTGACAAATTTTCAGTGAATTTTAAAGAGACTTTTAAATGTACAAGGGACCTTACCTCCTTCCCTCTGGGATATTTAAGCAGATGTGTCATCGGGATGGCTCGAGCAGCGAATGTCGATTCATCTGAATCAGAAAGTTGGATATTCTAGGTGTGTGTTCATGGTGCACCACGGCTGCTGAATTATTGAGCAGAAAAACTCTCTTTGATCCATGCTATGTAGCCAACATACCAATCTCTTACCTGTCAGCCTCCCAGAAAGCCATTCATTTTTCAAATGTTTGGAAGGAGGATGCTAGGATGTATGTTATTTTTCCTACCGCAAGAAATTTTCAATCCCTTTCAGGCTCTAAATTGATATGTAGCAGCCATGTTCTTAGCCGAATACAAAGAACTATTTCTGGGATTTCAGATTTGATTGGCAGTTCATGCAGGAAAGTAGTAAGATGAAGAAGAAAAAAAAATCCTCAACTTTGATTCCTGGCTTTTTGTCTATTCGAAAAACCTTGATGTTGAATGCAGGCTTGAGCTGTACTGAAAGCTACCAGGAATACATTTTATTACCAAATCAATATACTGAGTTTCAATGTCCTGAGCGGCATATCTCTTAGATGTTTTTAGCCTCCGTTTAAATAGAAAGAGAACTTTACCAATGCATGAGAGTGGGAGAGCGAGGTTCAGATATTGCACTGAAAGGTCATGTGTGGGAGTTCAGTGTCTGAGTGAAATGAAGAGATAGCCATCACGCTCAGTCTGCGGAATACGTTATGCAAAAAAGGACTGTAGCAAGCTCACCAGTCATTTCACTTTCACGCATGGTTTTCAGACCCACGGCTCACGAAATGGGTAGGCGGGGGTGTGGGGTTTATATCCCGTGACTCAAACGCGTCAGGGTTTACATTTGATTGCTTCAGCACAAAATCCCCTCACATCAAATGTCTTGCGCATCGCAAAGCCCAGTGACACACAGAAACATGGTCATAATTTCAAATCTAGTGATATTTCATGAAGTGTTGCCTCGCTTGAAAGTGGAGATAGTTATGTGGGCACATAAACACATCTCCTCCTCCTGAAAGATATCTCCACTCTGCTCTCATTTTTTTCAGTCGTATTCCTGTTTACCAAGAAGCCAGTGCACTAAAATTTGTAAGGGTGGGTATTAAATAATGAAGCCGGAGGTGTAAACAAAAAAGAAAAAAAAGACACTTTGCAATGCAGAAATGCATTTCTATATTTATGTGTCAGTTGATGCACAAATACATTGCAGTTTTTGTAAGTGCATTTAGTTAACAAAATTATATCAAATTTTATATATTATTGTTATTATATAATTATTATTATATACAGTATTTATTGTACCAATGCTCTTTCCTTGCACATTTGTACAGATGCCAGTAAACAAATGTCAGTCAAACCAGTTATGTTTTGATTACTATCTTCTTTTTGTTGGTTCTATGATAAGTTTATCACTTTTTAGAAAATAGAATGACCAGAACAATTTAATTTTTATAATTTTCTTTTGTAATTTTTTTTTATTAAATAACGCATCAATGCCATTTATTATATTACACATTTAATTTCCCATATGCGTTAATGAACACGTTAATTATGACAGCCTCAATTTTTCATAGTTCCCCAATATTATGGTCCTCAAACTTATTACCTGCTTAAACTGTTAATTATACTGAAATTATTATTAATATCTCTAGTCTAATAGCATGCTTTTTATGTAAGTATGTCTGATCCACTTAGAATGAAAAGATGAGGCCATAAACTCTGTTTTGATGTTTTTATAGGACAAGCTTTTTGTTACATAAACAGTATAAACATGCTTCAATAAAATCTGTTATTATCGCACTTTTGATGAGAAGAACCATTGTGAGAAACATCCTCTGTCAAACCAAAAGCATCAAACAGATTGATATCCAGATGTTTAATGTCCCACGGTTCTGCAACATGTTTCTTGCTTCAATGCAAGAGAGAGGGAAAACAGAAGAGGGAAACGTCTATCGCATTGAGCCATGCCATGGTTAATGATGCCAGATAGAAATATGGGAGACAGAAAAGTGATGGATGGGGGAAGAACGAGAGAGGATTGTGTATGCATCTGTTCTTTACATCAAACAGAGTTTGGAAGAAAAAAATACGAAGATGAGGGTTTCATATGTGGCAATGATCCAGCTTCAATTAAAAGTAGGCCAGAAATGTCACTTTTCTACTCATTATGTCAGTCAGTCATTGAATGAAAGTACATACAGTATGACTTTTTTTATCTGAAGTGTGTCATTTCTGTGACAAAGCAGCATAATTGGAATTGCTAAAATAATGCCTGTTTTTAGGTTTCTCCCATTGGCCATGGCCATATACCCACATTTCACTGCATGTGGTTTTATAAGCACCAGTGTTTTCAGAGAAATCAGTACTGATTTTCTTAGTAGTGTCCTCGTGTCCAGACTGTCCACTCTTTTTGTAGTTGTCTCTGCCCATAAAGACTGAGATTGAAAGTACTATAACAGAAAAATATACACATCAACTTTAATAAACAATCCAATGTTGCTTTATCATTCTGTTTTCTTTATTCTCAGGCATTTTGAGACACTTTGAATGGCAGGCAATTGTCACGCAGCTGAGAGAAAGTGTCTACTAAAGCATTATCATTGTGATCAATGACCCAGTTCACTTGGCATCCAACTGTCAAGTATCAATCCGTGATGCTGAATACTATTTACTCTTTAGGAAGTAACAGTGGCTTGACTTTGATTAATAAGCAAGCATTTGACTTCACATGTCACTGCCACATTATCTATTGTACATTTTTTTAAATTTCCTGATGCTACCGAAGGCTAAAGATTGGATCGGTTGTGCACAGGGCCGGATTTACCTCTTTTTGTGACATAGGCAAAACAAATTTTTGGGCCCCCCTTCCCTATAAATATAATAGGCCTAATATTACCACCCAAGCAAACAAAAATATTTCTTAATCAGCTGACACTGTTACAGTGTTTTCTATCGCAATAAGCGCTTGCGTTGAATGTAGTTCTTAATTTGTTTGAGAACTGAGAAAGACCATTCCATTAATAGGCACTGTATAAGATATATAACCACATATAACCACTTCAGGAGTTCATTATTACTCTAATAATTTTAACGGCCTGGAGACACAGTCACACATCAGTTGTTCAGGGCTGTGTTTCCCAAAAGCATCGGAAGCTTAAGTTGATTTTAGCTCCATTGGTTTCAATGGGTCTACGATGTACTTAAGCTTACGATGCTTTT